AGACAGGGCCCGTGGTGTGGCTGAGGGGCCAAGCAGGACATCACATCTGCCCTTCAAACACAGGGAACAGGATAGGCTGCCACCCCCTGCAGCCCACTGACCAAGAAGTAGTCACGGAAGAACTCAGGCAGCTCCATGCTGATGATATCTTCGTCCAGGGGCAGCAGGTAGAAGGACCATTCATCACAGGTGACATCTGAGTTTGGGGTGGGGAGAGGGGACAGTTACCCATCCCTGGGCACGAACCACCCCATGGGTCATGGCAGCCCCAAAACAGGGTGTGGGGAGCCCCCGAGAGACAGGATGGGTGGCTGGGCCCTCTCTCTTCCCTGCAGGCAGAGGAGAGGGGCCAGTGCTGTGGTGAGCACACACCTGCCCACAGACCAGCAGCCACCCTCGAGGCAACCCGTGTTCCCTGCCCACACAGGGATCCCAGCACTGGGACTCAACTGGAACCCTGCGGTGTCTGAGCTACCCTGAGCCGGCACCACAGCTCCACTCACCACCAAAGACCCCCTCTTCCTCCAGCACCATCTCACAAGCATAGAACTGGAAGGGAAGGGGAGACCAGGCAGGCTCTGAGCAGGTGGAGCTCTGGAGTGGCCCAGCTCCTTCCCAGGCATTATAACACTCGATTTTAGTTAAACATCCCCGGGTTATCGACACACAACTTTTGGTGTCGACAGATGGGATAGAAGGTGCTGGGCAGGCACACGGTGACGTGGGAACGGGCAGCGGGGTTGCACTAACCTTCTGGGGGCTGAAGATGATTTTGTACTTCCTGCTCCTCCCCGACATCTTGTCAGCGTTAACAATATCTGTGGACACCCCGCACAGCCCCTGCACAGCTGGCCCCCCTCGGCCCGGGGCCCCACAGTTCACGGGGCCCCAACGCCCCGAGCATATGTGAGGCCCCGGGAACGGGGTTCGCCTGGAGCCCCTGTCAGACCCACTCCCAGCGGTGGCCCAGAGCACCTGCCCCCGGTGCCGCACTCACCGGCGATGAACCTCATCGTCTTGACCCGCGGCCGCACCAGGAAGCAGAACCTGCATCGCAGAGGGGAGCGAGGGCTCCTCGTACCCGGCCCTGCCAACGCTGGGCTCTTCCCGTCCGCAGCCGTGCAGGTGCGGAGTCGGGTACTCACTGGTCGCTGGCGCCGGGGGCCGGCCGGGTCTCCACCTTGTACAGCTTGTCCACGTCGTGCTGCTGCAGGGGCACGGTGGGCTCAGCGCGGCCGGGGCGGGGGGCCCGCCCGCCGGGCCCTGCCGTACCTTCAGGATGGACACGTTGGCGATGCGGTCCAGGGGGCTCATCAGATCGGCCTCGATGAACAGGTCCTTCTTCCCGGGGAGCTGCGGGCAGGGCGCGCACGGGTCGGGATCGCCGCCCTTCCCGGGGCCCGGCCCCGCCCGAGCCCACCCCGGCCCTGCCGCGGAACCCCTGCCCCGCGGCCCCGTACCTGCTCCAGCAGGTAGACGAGCTGGTCCCGCGCCAGCCGCTTCAGGATCCCGAAGTCGGGCGGCTCGGGCGCATCGCGGCGCCCGGCGAAAGCCATGGCGGGGCCGGCGCGGCGCCCGGAACGCCCGAGCGCGGCCGCGGCTCGGCCGGAACCCCGCGGGGCGGGACCGAGCGGCGCCATAGCAACACCATAGCAACGCGGAGACGCCGAGCACGTTTATTGGCCGCCCGCGGTCACGTGGCCACCCCGCGCTCCTCGAACAGGCGCTGCAGCTCCGCCTCCAGGCGCGCGCTGGTCCCGCGCAGCCCGCCCACCACGAGCGCCGCCCACCGGAAATACTCCTGCACGCGCTCCGCCGACCACCCTGCGGAAACATGACGTCACTTCCGGCCGGGCCGCCCCAGGCCTGACCCCAGTACAGGGACAGAGGGAGACACCACACACTCACCGGGACACACCGAGCCATCACCACACACACCGGGATAGACCCCGGTACCGGGACACACCGAGCCATCACCACCCCCCAGACACACCGAGCCATCACCACACACACCGGGACAGACACTCCCCACACTGTCCCCGGCTGGAGGCGCCTCAGGCTCAGGGTGACCTCGGCAGGCCCGTCCCCTCGCACAGGGCGCAGGACCAGCCCTGCCCCAGGCAGAGGAGCCGCCTTGGGCACGGCTGGGCCCTGCCGCGG